CTAACTGGAGGCTCTGCTCTGTCTGTGGCTGTGTTAGACTTTAAAGGTGCATTGTGTAACTTTTCTGGTCCTAAGGTTTAGGGTTAGGTTTTGTCTGAGGAGATGTTATTGCTTCGTCAAGTTGGCAGAGTGTGGCAGTCCTGGTTTAGACCTAGATTTAGTCCTGGTTTTAGTTCTGGTTTTAGTCCTGGTTTTAGTCTTGGTTTTAGACCTGGTTTAGTCCTGGTTTTAGTTCTGATTTTAGTCCTGATTTTAGTCCTGGTTTAGCCTGGTTTAGCCTGTTTAGTCCTGGTTTAGCCTGGTTTAGTCCTGGTTTAGTTTAGTCCTGCTTTTAGTCCCTTTAGTCCTGTTTCTGGTTTAGCCCTGGTTTAGTCCTGGTTTAGGCCTGGTTTAGACCTGGTTTAGTCCCTGTTTAGTCTGGTTTAGTGCTGGTTTAGACCTGGTTTTAGTCCTGATTTTAGTCCTGGTTTAGTCCTGGTTTAGCCCTGGTTTAGTCCTGGTTTAGCCTGGTTTAGTCCTGGTTTAGTCCTGGTTTTAGTCCTGGTTTAGACCTGGTTTAGTGGTTTAGACCTGGTTTTAGTCCTGATTTTAGTCCTGGATTTAGGCCTGGTTTAGTTCTGGTTTTTAGTTCTGGTTTTAGTCCTGGTTTAGTCCCTGGTTTAGTCCTGGTTTAGACCTGGTTTTAGACCTGGTTTAGTCCTGATTTTAGGCCTGGTTTTGTTTCTGGTTTTAGTTCTGGTTTTAGTCCTGGTTTAGTCCTGGTTTAGTCCTGGTTTAGACCTGGTTTAGTCCTGGTTTAGACCTGGTTTAGTCCTGGTTTTAGTCCTGGTTTAGTCCTGGTTTTAGTCCTGGTTTAGCCTGGTTTTAGTTCTGGTTTTAGTTCTGGTTTTAGTCCTGGTTTAGTCCAGGTTTAGTCCTGGTTTAGTTTAGTGCTGGTTTAGACCTGGTTTTAGTCCTGATTTTAGTCCTGGTTTAGTCCTGGTTTAGCCCTGGTTTAGTCCTGGTTTAGACCTGGTTTTAGTCCTGATTTTAGTCCTGGTTTAGTCCTGGTTTAGCCCTGGTTTAGTCCTGGTTTAGTCCTGGTTTTAGTCCTGATGGAAAATCTGTGTCCACGTACATTAGATCAAGCGCAGACTTCAGCGTAATCAATCTGGACTGGACTTACGGGGTCTTTTGCGTACACATGGACACATTTAGGCCCGTCACCAGAAATACTGTCGATACTTTGCAGCTGATGCCACGTTTCCTGGGGGTGTGATGCTAACTGGAGGCTCTGCTCTGTCTGTGGGCTGTGTTAGACTTTAAAGGTGCATTTGTGTAACTTTTCTGGTCCTAACGCTTTTGTCTGAGGAGATGTTATTGCTTCGTCAAGTTGGCAGAGTGTGGCAGTCCTGGTTTTAGACCTAGATTTAGTCCTGGTTTTTAGTTCTGGTTTTAGTTTCCTGGTTTTAGTCCTGGTTTTAGTTCTGGTTTTAGTTCTGGTTTTAGTTCTGGTTTTAGTTCTGGTTTTAGTCCAGGTTTAGTCCATGTTTAGACCTGGTTTAGACCTGGTTTAGTCCTGGTTTTAGTCCTGGTTTTAGTCCTGGTTTTGACATGGTTTAGACATGGTTTAGACCTGGTTTAGTCCTGATTTTAGTCCTGATTTTAGTCCTGGTTTTAGTTCTGGTTTTAGTTCTGGTTTTAGTCCTGGTTTAGTCCAGGTTTAGTCCTGGTTTAGACCTGGTTTAGACCTGGTTTAGTCCTGATTTTAGTCCTGATTTTAGACTGGGTTTAGTCCTGGTTTAGTCTGGTTTTAGTCTTGGTTTTAGTTCTGGTTTAGTCCGTTTTATTTGGTTTTAGTTCTGGTTTTAGTCCAGTTTGCCAGGTTTGACCTTTTGACTGTTTTAGACTGGTTTAGGCTCTGCTCTGTCTGTGGCTGTGTTAGACTTTAAAGGTGCATTGTGTAACTTTTATGGTCCTAAGGTTTAGGGTTAGGTTTTGTCTGAGGAGATGTTATTGCTTCGTCAATTTGGCAGAGTGTGGCAGTCCTGGTTTAGACCTAGATTTAGTCCTGGTTTTAGTTCTGGTTCTAATTCTGGTTTTAGTCCTGGTTTTAGTTCTGATTTTAGTCCTGGTTTAGACCTGGTTTAGACCTGGTTTAGTTCTGGTTTTAGTCCTGGTTTTAGTTCTGGTTTTAGCCCTGATTTTAGTCCTGGTTTTAGTCCTGGTTTTAGTTCTGGTTTTAGCCCTGGTTTTAGCCCTGATTTTAGTCCTGGTTTTAGTCCTGGTTTTAGTTCTGGTTTTAGTTCTGGTTTTAGACCGGGTTTTAGACCTGGTTTACACCTGGTTTAGACCTGGTTTTAGTCCTGGTTTTAGTCCTGGTTTCGACCTGGTTTCAACCTGATTTTAGTCCTGGTTTTAGTCCTGGTTTTAGTCCTGATTTTAGTCGTGGTTTTGTCCTAGTTTAGACCTGGTTTAGGCCTGGTTTAGTCTTGGTTTAGATCTAGTTTTAATCCTGATTTTAGTCCTGATTTTAGTGCTGGTTTTAGTCCTGGTCTAGATTTGGTTTTAGTGCTGATTTTAGTCCTTGTTTAATCCTGGTTTAGACCTGGTTTAGTCCTGGTTTAGTTCTGATTTTAGTCCTGGTTTAATCCTGGTTTAGGCCTGGTTTAGTCCTGGTTTAGACCTGGTTTTAGTCCTGATTTTAGTCCTTTTTATTCTTTTCCTGTACTACGATTAGATTTCTGCTGAAGAAGCTTGAATTAAAAAAAAAAAACAAAAAACAACTTCTATGAATCATAATTGACGTATCTTATTTTTTGCAGCAAATATGTATATTTTAAACTTGCTTGAACATTTAGAATAGTTTTGTGAAATGATTCTGCTTTAGGGTTATTGTGTCAGTGGGGTAAACTAGTTTCAATATTGTATTGTGTGTACATTTGTTGTTTAGATTTTTATATTTTTCAGCTTTACATTGCACTTAAAACTTGTAAACTGTATAATTCAAGTGTGGATAGTAAAGTAGATGTTGAATAAAGTGGATAAAACTGATGTGGAAGTGTTGTTTGGTCATAATAATAATGGTTTTATACACTTTACAACTTGATAGCCGCTCTGTGGACTGTTGTAAAAATGGCTCCCAATCTGTCCCCGTGGCCACTCCAACCACCTAATTTAGTTAAGCACCGAAGCACCGAAGCAGCGGGAGTTAAATTGTAAATTGTAAACCAAACAACATTAAAAACAATAGTCATTAAGCAACCAGTGGTGTTTTTATTTGTTTGTTTGTTTGTAGAAGCCAATGGAGAGCAGAGTTCTGAATAAATCAATAGGAGATTAATGCTTTTTGGGGAAGAAATATCAAAATTTATGATCCACAAATGCTGGACCTTATCATTATTTGTTTGTGACTGGCTTCACAAAATTGCCACATTAATCTTATGGCTTGAAGCTCTTTCAACTGACAACAATCACAACTTTGGATTTGAATAATGGCACCAGTCTCTGAAGTTACTGTGATTTATTTTTTTTCCCCACTTTTGTTTATTTCTGCCAGCAAAGAAGAGTCTGAACTTTGAGCCAGGTTTTTGTTTCACGTGGATGGACGCGGTGATTACACAGATGTTAAACTACAAACCAGGTCAACAACAAATTTGCAATCTGAAAGTTCAACAGGAAACACCACCACGAGAACTTGACAAACCTGAAGAATCCGTGTATCATTTGTTCATTTGTTTTTCAAAATAAAACCAAAAATAAGAAAACGAAAAAACTGTTTTCTTCATTATTTGTCTCCAAAACCAAAATGAAAAAACATATAATGATTCGTTTTTTCAGTTTTCGATTTTGTGTTTAAATGAAAAATGGAAAACACGGATAACGGCCGTCTCCCGTTTACGTGACTTCCGTGACTGCGATGCCGAACTTTTGCACCGCATATGGACTGAACCAGGACTGATGCAGGTCCAGGACCAGAGCGGGACTGAGACCGAGATCAGACCGGTACCAGACCGAGACTGAGACTGGGACTGAGACCGAGACCAGACCGGTACCAGACCGGTACCAGACCGAGACTGAGACTGGGACCGAGACCAGACCGGGACCAGACCGGAGGCTCAGAGCCCACGGCAGGGCTGGAGCTCGAAGCTGAGGCTCAGACCCCACGGAGGCTCAGAGTCAAAGCTGGGAGTCCGCTCTGGTCCCAGTCTGGTCCCGGTCTGGTCTCGGTCTGGTCCCGGTCTGGTCCCGGTCTCAGTCCTGGTCTGGTCTTGGTCTGGTCCTGGGCCAAAAAATAATTTTTCTCATAGAGCACAATGTAAACACAAACTGCTCAAGTTCAGCTAACAAGGCACCTATAACTTTAAAAAATGTCAGATTTTGTGGTGATTTTTACCTATTTTTAGAACATAAACTTTTTCTCAGCTCAAAACCATTCAGTTGTCTTAAAAAACGCTTTATAATCGTTCGCTCCGGCTTCACTCTGCTCCGCTCTATCTCCTCTCGCTCTGATTGGTCAAAGCGATCATGTGATACATAAGACTGCGCTCCGTGTGTGCATTGGCGTGTGCCCGCGGGAGAAAACTGCACTACTGCACATGTTCAATCGGCCCGGAGCAACCGGAAGTACCTCGCTGGGCTAATCTGAAGTCATGCACCATTGAGCTCGGTCCACTGACTTCAATGGGCGGCCATTTAGAAACCCTGGGGCTTGTCATACACCTTCACTAGAATCATTTGGAGAATTTCATCCCTGGAATTGCCAGTGTGTAAACTAAAGGTAACAGGAACATCGCAAGGTGGAACATTGCATTTTGAGCTTTGGAGATGTTAAAAGAGTAATAATAACGGGTTGTCCAAACATGTGGGAATGAAACAAAACACAACTCTTGGTATGTTTTTAAGAAGGTAACAACATTATAACATGGTTTAAAGTTCACAAGAGTCAACTTTGTGAAATTTAGGGCCTTTAACACCTCACAGAAATGAAATACCACCTCTTTAAGATCTACAAACTGTACCTGCTGTTTCTCTGGAGCAGGTTTCCATCTTTACTCCAGACGATCTTGGGTTTTGGGACCCCCTGAGCAGGACACAGGAGCGTGACGGAACGGGTGGTGTTTGTGAGGAGCCCGTTCTGTCCGATGGAGATGTTTAAGTTCTTCTGCAGAGCCCAGGGAGATCGCTGCTGCTGTCGCTCGATCACTGGTTTACCTGGAACCACCTCCACTGGAGTCGCCTCAGACCAGTTTGACAAAGACTCTAGGGTTCAAATACAAAAGAATGAGTTTGCAAAATGATTAATTAACAGCCCTATCTATCTTTATGCTTGTTTATCTACTTATCCTATTTAGGGTGGTATTTATTTGTGCTTGAATAAATACAGTTGAAGATGAATGAATTTTATTGACAATAACATCAAAACTATGTGATAATTTTCTTCAACTACAAAATGTCTTTAATTGTCAGTAACAATTCATTCTGATTCTTTAATAGATTTAAAAAATATTGAATCAACCATTGGAGTTGTTTTTACCATCTGCTTGTCCTTTCTCTGCAGTTCTCCTCCAGACCTGAGAGGGCGCCATGTCTGTGAGCATTGAGGCGATGAGCTCTGAAGCTTGCCTCACAGCTTCATATTGTCTTGTTGGTGGTAGTTTGCTGAGGTCGGCCTGTAGTGTGATGTTGATCAGTCTCTCCTTCACCTGTGGCTGCAGTGACACCTCCTGGACTCCAGAGGGCAGCAGAACCACCGGGATAGGAGCCCAGGACAGAGGCATAGACGAGTGAGTCATACAGCTCGGCATGAAGTCCTCCCAAGTCAGAGGCGGGGTGTTTGGAGGGAGCGAAGGGGCTATGGAGAGACGTAAAATGTAATTTGCAATGGGTTCAGGTGGCATCACAACATTAAGGTCTGAATTACATGATCACAACTGTCAAAATGTAGTGCATCTGCTCAATTTCATTTCTCTCTAGCGACTAGGTCAGGAATCGGAATACATTAGATGGTTCACAAAACCCCTGGAAGTGCAAGTCCGGGCACCAGCCAATCAGCGAAGAGCCATACATTCTGTGTTGGCAACGATTCCCGAGATCGAGGACTTAAAGTTGGAACAAAGAGAATGTTTGGTAAATTTTATCAAGGGGAAAGACGTTATTGCCCTTCTTCCTGCGGGATTAGGGAAAAGCCCCGTTAGCCGCACATTACACATGTCACGACCAAATAGCAGCGATTGGTTAAATTAAAAAAAGTACCCGCTTACATTCGAGCGAACAAATCCTAACACTGTGAGGTGTTTCTACGAAGTGAAACCGGCTGATGAATCAGGCTAGTCAAACTGTGGATTAGTTGTCCAACATATTCTCTAGTACAACATTGCCCACACTTTTTCAACATATGAGCTACTTATAAAATGACCAAGTCAAAATGATCGACCTACTACAAAACTGCAAATAATTTATTTATTTATAAATATACTGAGAATCAGTCATGGTGAAACAGTACTTGGACTTAATGATCTTCATTTGACAAAAGGTTGACTCAGATAAGTAAGTTTTATAAATCTATCTCTATTTTATCTGATAAAAGTTAATTTAAGATTAAAACAAGCCAAGCAAATGTACTGCACTTAAACATTCCTCTTTTAGACCCTCACCCACAGTTTAAGAACCTCTTCTTTTAGAGAACTTCCACTGACACTTTACACAAAACTGTGAAGAAAGTGAAGAAAGTTTGTTGGATTTTTAAATCTGTTTTTGTCAAGTTCCTAACTGGAGTTACATTGGCTTACTGGTTTTGTAGTGGTACTTACCAGCCGCTGAAACACATGAACTATCCTGTGGCGGCTCATTTTGTTGATTTTAACCATCCCATCTCTTCCTTAAGATATATTGGCATTGAACATGTGGAACTGCCCCCTAGAGGTTGGAATCTAGAAATGCTCCTGTCAAAAAGAGACACTTCTGGATTCACCAACTTAAGACTCTAGCTCCTCGTGAACTGAATGTGGAGTTTGATCTAAGATGTTTTTTGTGATAGACTTAAACTATTTCTGTATTTTATAAAATGTTTTTTCTGTAAATATCTAAACTGTTGTTTCTTGTTGTAGAATGGGCTGATCTCAGTGGGTGACCTCACTTTGGGACCTCCCATTCATTGAAGGGATATATGGAAACCTGGGCTGGCAACAATATTGTGTGCTGTGGTCCAAGACAAGAAAAATATCTGATGAAGGCTTTTTTTTTTGGCCGAAATGTTATTTTGTTAATAAAAAAGCTTTTTGACATCGGCCAACCGAGTGTGCTCTGCATTTTTTCACCCTTGTCTCCTTGCATTTGCACCTCTACAAAAATGTTGGTGTACGTTTTCTGTTTCTTTTGACTTACCAGCCTCTGCACATTCATAAACGCACGAGTTGCCAGACCAAGACCGGTTTCAAGTAGTAGGACACTGTGATCTACCTACACTACCTTGGCGATCGACATATTGGGCACCCCTGCTCAAGTATAATCTGGAGCGGTCAAACCTCCTTCTCCAAGCCTGATGTCATCTGACCCGAGCAGTACTTGCATGAGACACCTTAGGCAGAGCACTTCACCCACATTGGCTCGTATGAAAGTGGTGTGAGTATTGGTGGTGTTTTGAGGGACCAGTGTCACAGATTGGCATTGCCTTGCTTCTGTCAGTCTACCCCAGGGCAGCTGTGACTACAAAAGTATCTTACCAAAACTGAGTGTGGAGTGAATGAATAATGCACGAAATTGTAAAGCAACTCTGAGCATCTGAAAAAGCGCTGTATAAGACCAATGCATTATTATTATCATCATCCATAAAACCTGTTTTTGTTTTCTTTTCACAATAGCTTCAAAAAGTGCTGCCGTTATACTGAACCCCAGACACGGTGTGAATTGAAAATGCATATGGCACGACTGAAGACCCAAACATGAATTAATATTTAACATGAATTCATATTAATTAGTATAAAGTTGGCGATTATCACAATAATACAATACATACTCTTTTTATTGTCCCATCTCTATTCTCCAAAGACATATCAGCAAACTTATTAAATCCGTGTATCATTCGTTCATTTGTTTTTCAATATAAAACCAAAAATAAGAAAACAAACATTATTTATCTCCAAAACCAAAATGAAAAAACGGATAACGATTCGTTTTTTCAGTTTTCGATTTTGTGTTTAAATGAAACATGGAAAAAATGGATAACGGCCGTTTCCCGTTTATGTGACTTCCGTGACTGCGATGCCGGACTTTTGCACTGCCTATGGACTGAACCAGACTGGAACAAGACCGGGACTGAGACCGGGACCAGACCGGGACTGAGACCAGACCGGGACCAGACCAGGACTGGGACCACTGGGACAGACTGGGACTAGACCGAGACCACACCGGGACTAGACCGGGACTAGACCGGGACCAGGCCGGGACCAGGCCAGGACCAGACCGGGACTAGACCGGGACTAGACCGGGACCAGGCCGGGACTAGACCGGGACCAGGCCGGGACTAGACCGGGATCAAGCCGAGACCAGACCGGGACCAGAGCGAGACTGACATAGAGACCATACCGGGACCAGACCAGACAGAGATCAGGACTGAGACCGGGACCAGACCGAGACTGAGGCCAGACCGGGACAAGAGTGGGACTGAGACTAAAACCAGACCAGGACCAGGCCGGGACCAGACCGGGATCAGACCGGAGGCTCAGAGTCCATCGCAGGGCCGAAGCTCGAAACTGAGGCTTGGAGTCAAAGCTCGGAGTCCACTCCGGTCCCGCTCTGGTCCCACTCTGGTCCCACTCTTGTCCCGATCCTGGATCAGTCCTGGTTCAGTCCGTATGCAGCGCAAAAGTCCGACATCGCAGTCACGGAAGCCACATAAACGGGAAACGGCCATTATTCCTATTTTCCATTATTCATTTAAACACAAAATCAAAAACTGAAAAAAACGAATCATTATCTGTTTTTTCATTTTGGTTTGGAGACAAATAATGAAGAAAACAGTTGCTTTATTCACTTTCTTATTTTTGGTTTTATATTGAAAAACGAATGAACGAATGATACACAGATTTTATTAGCATTAGGAGATCTTCACTAACCTTTTACATTTGTCCTGCTGTCTGGACCAATCAGCTGCAGAGTAAATATATTGGAGGCGGGGCCTGTGAAGCATTTGTACACGCCCACATGCTTCGGCCCGAGATACTGGATCTTCAAGCCTCCAGATTTGGTGAAACTCATCCCTCTGGTGCTGTTAATGCGCTTCCTGTCTTTGTGCCAGACAATAGAGGTTTTGGGGAACCTCTTGACGGGACAGCGGATGATCAGGGAGGTGCGAGGCAGGAGGTAAGCGTGGCCCCCGATGACGAGCTGCAGGCGGTTCACCTTTTGGGTTTGGATGTAGATGGCGTGACGACTCTGGAGGAATGGGCACCGTTTGACCCCATCTTCGTAGGAGCTGGGAGGGCGTCTGACTTGCTTCTGCTGGTTTCTGATTGGATAGCTCAGAGGGGTCAGGGGTTGCATCGCTTTCTTTGGCTCTGTTTAAAAAAAAATATATAAAAAATTAATAAAGCAAGAACAGTGACTTTTCTAAGGGTTAAAGGTGCACTGTACAACTTTCCTGGTTGTTTTTCTCAATCGAGATGTTATTTCTTTGCCTGGAATGTTCCATGGTATGATTTTAACATTCCAATCTACCACAGACCTGGGCATTGTACAGCTCCCGGGCCACAAACATCCCTTTGGTTGCCTCTGACCGGCCCCTTTAAGCTAACTACAAAATAAACACATACTGTATTTTCTGGGCTATTAGGCGCATGACTTCAGTAAACTACAAAGCCGCACCACCTGCAGCGCACGCAAACACACACGGAGCAGACAGCGACCGCACAGCGAAAAACACCCACAGACACACTCATCAGTCCACACGGACGAGGAACGGAACGAAGGAACGAATCGAAAAAGCGAGCGCAATGTGCCACTTAAAGACACAACTGAACAACTGAGTCACTGCGAACACGCCGACAATCCAGCGATCCCAGGCAGCACCCTCCCTACACGCCACAACTGAACAAAGCCCAGAGTCACCGTGAATGAGCCAAACAAAGTCCCACTGACCCATCCAACTGTTGTGTTTCGTTTAAAGTCCGGTGCAGTTTATTTGTGAAAAAAGTTCAAAAATAGACCATTTAATGACAGTGCATCTTATAATCCAGAGCGCCTAATAGCCTAGAAAATACGGTATTATAATTTTACCTCTAGCATTAACTAAAGCTGCATTGCTTTTATTTTAGAGTTTTTTTTTTTTTTTTTTTTATGATATTTTTTATAAGGCAACCTCACTTTTTCATTGCTTAGTTATAAGATATACTCTTTCCTCTAGGGGTGTAATGGTACATGTATTCGTGCAGAACTGTATCGATATGGGAAGTTTGGTTCGGTGCAGGGCTGTGCACGACTGAGTTCCTGCAATTTGTGTGTATTTACATTGAGCCACTACATGTGCAGCAACACAGAGGCTCTGCTCTTTAATTTTCATGAGGAAACTCATCTGTGATTCGGGTGGCCATGTTTCCCAGAGCGCTTTGTAGTTAGGGCGACCGCCTTGACAACAATTGCCCTCAGTCTTGACTACATCCCTCTGAACCACGTGAATCCTCGCAAAACTATGGTTGTCATGCTGCAGTCCTCACTTTCGCCTTTCGCTGGCATGAAATCTCCACCCCACACCCCCGCTCTTACTGCAGACACTGTGGACAAGTTGTTTTTTCTGGCCAAAAATATGAAGATTGAGTAAAACTTCATGCTGGAACTGTTAGTGCTGCGCTTTACTTTTAGAAAAGTTTTGTTTGCTGTTTACAAAAAAAACCCCAAAAAACAGCCCGCTCCTTGTGTCGCTGATGCGGTTCGGCTTCTGACGGACTAAAGGACACGATTCAGTGGAATAAAGGTGTTCTCTCCATGGATATGATTCTCTTTGTGACAGAGGATGTGCTGCTGTTGGCCTTGCCTGTAAACGGTGGAAAAGATACGCGGTGCTAATAACTTTCGGCATTCACGGCAGTAGACACGCGTCTGCTGTTCGTCCAACGCCTTAAAATCGAAGTATCTCCTTATAATGGAGCCAGTTGTCCTTTTTTGAGACGAGTTCTGTATTCTCCGGGTTGGTTTTGGGCACCGCTGTGTTGAATGAGACACACGCGAGGGGACATGAGAGAGGAGGCAGAACAAAAACGAGGAGGCGGAGGCATGCGGGGACGAGCACAGAGACGGCAAATAAGCAAAGCGGCGAAATCAGAATATATAAGCATTATATCGATATATACGATATGTCAAAGTCCATATAATATCCATAATCCAGGATAACACAAACAAGCCTCCATGAAACAAAACACAACTCCGGGTATGTTTTTGAGTTTAAAGCTCACAAGAGTCAATTTAGTGTAACACAGGAGCTTTAAAGTGCATTTATTAAAATCTATAATAACAATTAAAAAAAAAAATCTTGGCATGCTATTAATAATGTAATATATTCTAAATTATACTGCATATTCAGGCCTTTGAAAAGCTGCTGCAAAATTCTTTAAGATAATTCCACTTTTCCCGTTCTAATCATTCCTATCCCGCAGCACTCCCTCCTGTCCTGACCCACAGCCCGGCCTATATATACCACTCTCATTAGCATTACATTAGCAGCATCTGTACTTTCCCCATTCACTTTGCACACACAGGAAGTCTCTGTGCTCCGAAGGCGAGATAAGACCCGCTGCATTTTCAAAGTTCAAGCTGTAATCCCTGGACCATTTACGTTCAAAGTGAGAACAGGATCTGCTGATGGGGAAGATAAGGACAGCCCCGAGGCCTTGTGGGTAAATTTGGACCGTAATGTATACAAATATGGCGGTTCAAAAACCTCTGGTCTGCCCTGTCAACACCAGCGCGGCTCGACATACGCAACGAAAACAGAACAAGGTTTCGACGTCTCTGCTCAAACTGTGAGAGATACAGGACTTCATTCATACTATAATGCTCCCTACAACTGTACAACTCACCCTTATGTAACAGAGAAGGGATACAACTGTACAGCTCACCCTAATGTAACCTATAATACTCCCTACAACTGTACAACTCACCCTTATGTAACAAATATACTCCCTACAACTGTACAACAACTCACCCTTATGTAACAGATAATACTCCCTACAACTGTACAACAACTCACCCTTATGTAACAGATAATACTCCCTACAACTGTACAACAACTCACCCTTATGTAACAGATAATACTCCCTACAACTGTACAACAACTCACCCTTATGTAACAGATAATACTCCCTACAACTGTACAACAACTCACCCTTATGTAACAGATAATACTCCCTACAACTGTACAACAACTCACCCTTATGTAACAGATAATACTCCCTACAACTGTACAACTCACCCTTATGTAACAGATAATACTCCCTACAACTGTACAACAACTCACCCTTATGTAACAGATAATACTCCCTACAACTGTACAACAACTCACCCTTATGTAACAGATAATACTCCCTACAACTGTACAACTCACCCTTATGTAACAGATAATACTCCCTACAACTGTACAACTCACCCTTATGTAACAGATAATACTCCCTACAACTGTACAACAACTCACCCTTATGTAACAGATAATACTCCCTACAACTGTACAACAACTCACCCTTATGTAACAGATAATACTCCCTACAACTGTACAACTCACCTTATGTAACAGATAATACTCCCTACAACTGTACAACAACTCACCCTTATGTAACAGATAATACTCCCTACAACTGTACAACAACTCACCCTTATGTAACAGATAATACTCCCCACAGCTGTTCAACTCACCCTTATATGACAGAAAATACTCCCTACAACTGTACAACAATTCACCGTTATGTAATGGATAATACTCCCTACAACTGTATAACAAGTCACCCTTATGTAACAGATAATACTCCCTACAAGTGTACAACAACTCACCCTTATGTAACAGATAATACTCCCTACAACTGTACAACTCAAACTTTATGTAACAGATAATACTCCCTACAAGTGCACAACAACTCACCCTTATGTGACAGACCAAATTGAGATCATCTCTGTAATTTCTGACATTTATTTGTATTTTACATTTATTTTGGCACGTATATATCAATATTTTTATAAATCTATCCTCATTTTATCACTTATCGAGTGGAAGACCTCGAAACCGAGACAAGACAGTCTCGAGGCCGGTCTCGAGTGCTACGACACTAGTAAATACAAACAAAAAAAGTTTGGATTGGATTTAAACAACACATTTTCAGGAGCCTGTGATCAATATTAGTGTTCATGGTCCTGTTTACGTATTTGATTTTCAACAAAAAAAAAAAAAACTGAGGGGGACTAAATGAAAAACAGTTGGCTAATTCTAACTAGTTTGTGATTGTAATTTTATGTGAGAGACTTGTTTAACAGCACAAATCAGATCACCTGTTGTCCGCTTTTTCTGGTGAGATTGTATTAAAAACAAAGCTCCAATTAAAATCTAACTTGAGTAACAGAGCTTCAGACAGAGCAGAGCCTACAGTTAGCATCAAACATCAGCTGCAAAGTATCAATAGTAGCAGCTTAAAAGTTAGACGTTTTAATCATTGGACCCATATCCTGTTTTGGACTGGTCTAATTCTGGTTTAGACCTGCTCTAGTCTGTACCTCCTATTTTTGCCATAGCTCTGCCCTGGTTTAGTCAGTGTTTCTTTATAAATTACATTAGGTCAGATGTAGCCCTGGATATACCTGCTTTAGACTTTATTTAGTCTTGGCTGATCCTGGTTTGGATACAAAATGAGCTCAAACAGTACCCTGCTCCAAACTACATGCTTTTATTGACAGAGGATTGGCTGCAGACCTGAAAAAAAGAGTCAAGTTGATCATTGACGAAAAGAAACGACTGAATCTCAATCGAAATGTAATTAATTAAGAAAGTGCAATGAAACGGCCAATCAAATCGAGATTCCGAAACAGAAACTCGGGCTAATTTGGTGTAGGCCGACTAGGTTGGATTTACATAACAGCAAAAATCCCGGCGCACACAGTAAACGGGGAGGATTGTCTTTTTGTCATTTTAATGTGTTAAGTTGCGTATGTGTAGAGAAAGTGTCTACTAAAAACTTTGTAGTGACATTCAGACTTTCTTTCACATCATTTGACAATAGACAGAAGTTTTTTTCTGAACATGTAATAATCAAACTGCCATAATTGAGTTGCTGACAGAAAACAGACTCTATTTATTAGCAGGAGCCACTGATACCTGACGTAAACTCCCTCAGGGTTCAGTCAGAGGGTTGAGTTCTTTGAGATTCGGATGTAGTCCTAGTGAGTTATATGTAGCCTGACCCAAATGTGGTTCCGTATCGTTTAATGTGATGATACACTATCGACTTCGTGGGCTGCTCTATCGATATATCTCCAAGAGTATTTTTTGGTATGAAAGACCAAAAATGTGGCTGTTTGCTACAGGTGTTCCAATCAGTAGGAGCAAAGAGGGTGCTCTTGGAAAAAAGGATCAAGACTCAAGACACAACGGATTCCAGGCACTCCAAAACAGTAGAAAAAGTAAACACATCGCACGGCTTAAGCCCTGATGAAGACCAGTTGAGGTCGAAACATGTTGGCTTTGGCCATTCAAATAAAGGCCTTTTAATTATATTTTTCCTCGTGCGATGTGTTTACTTTTTCTACTGTTTTGGAGTGCCTGGAATCCGTTGTGTCTTGAGTATTTTTTGGTATATTTTGTTAAATTATTTAGTTACAGCGTTACAGTTTTGTTGTTTGTTTAGTGGAAGGAAACTCACATTTGACATTTTCACAGTTTTGATGATTAAAATGTTTGTGTTTCATATTCACTTTGCACAAGAAGTGGTTTAATAAAGACATGATTTAGCCATGATTTTTTATTGAACTGTATCAAATCGATTTGAAATATATCGTATTGAAATGAAAGTGCAATGTATCGAGATAATTATTGTATCTTGGCCTACGTATCGAGATATGTATCGTATCGACAACTTCTTATTAATACCCAGCCCCGTTCCACATACTGTATACGGGATTCATAAGCGAACATAAAATAAACATTAAACTTTCTCGGGACATCCATATATTCCCCAAAAGTTGCAATGGAACACATTTACAACGAATGTCGGAAGAACTGACTCCAATTTATCGAATACCGACGTTCCGTAGAAAACAGCATAAGATTCCTGGTTGAATTTGGAGCCGAGTTCCATATTACAAATAAGAATTTATTTACCGGCAAAACAGCGAAATAGATCATGTACAGTGGGTTAATATGAACACTTTAAGACCAAAATTACGAGGCTCATTGCAGCAGATAGAGAGACGGGTGACAGTTTTTCAGTGTAAAGTCAATTGGAGCCAGAGTCGATGGAACCAAAGTGCCCCCTATGCTCACTTCCTAGTTGGAATGCGGCAGATATGGTTTTGCTCTTATTTTATTTTACTGGTTTCATTAATTTAAGACTAGTATGATTAAATCTGAGAATATTATTATTGTTGTTATTAGTATGTATTTGTGCAGCACTTTGGAAACTGGTTGTTTAGAAAATGTGCGATATAAATAAAGTGGATTGGATGGGATAGTGGGTTAACTACGTTCATTATATATTTAGAGTCTACGGTCCTGGTTTATGACCATTTAGTTCTTGACCCTCCTTCAAATCTAATTCTGGTTTAGCTCTGGTTTAGTAACCCTGGACCACTCTTAGCTTAGTCCTGCTCTGCAATTTCTCTGGTCGGGCCAAGATTTTAAAACTTATATCAGGTTATTCCTCTTGTTGTCAGATTTATTATCTACTTAATTCTAGTCTAGAGGTAGTTTATTTTAAGATAACATGTCAAGTAAAATTATCTTGCGGCATGGACAGATAATTTCACTACTTTTAAGTCATTTTCTGATGGATTTAAGAGTTTATATCTTAAATTTTGGCCAAGCTTTTTTGCAGTGTGGTTTTGACCTTTTAGACCTGACTGTTTTAAACTTTTATTAGTTCTGGTTTAGTTGTTTTTTTGTTTACACTGCTTGGTTTCAGTAGATTTGACTTGATTTAGTTTCTTATTTAAAGTGCAAAGATTTGTTATGTTTCTTATTTTTTGAGTAACAAGTTGTATTTTCAGGTTTTAACTACAAAAAGATAGATAGATAATTTTGTAAAATGTGAAATTGACTCAAATCACAGTAATGTTGTCTTAATTCAAGTCATTTTAACTTCGCAAATTTGAGTTTTTACACGTTTAAAACACTACTGATCCTGTCGTGGTCCCGGTTTAGTCATCTATTTCCATTTCTAGGTGAGAAAACTTTGAAAACTGCTGCAATAGAGGAAGCAATCGCACGAGATTAACCCGAGAAACAGCATTTAAAGTTGTATATCCGCGAGGCCTCCCTTTGTCCTAAATCTCCCATCTTATCCCTGTCCCATTAACTTTCACCGCACAGAGTCACTGAGCTCCACAACCTCGGCTGCCATTGTGATGCAAGAAGACGCTTCGCCGAGGAAAGAAAAATAGAAGCTCCAATCTGCCCAGTGTTAGCAATACAACAGAAGCCTTCTACCTGGGAAAAGTAAAGCATTTGTCAGAAACGTACAGCAAATGTTCCATTAAACTAAGCCCCCTTTTGTAGTCCTTGAGTTTTGCGTCTGCGTGCATGGCTGGTTGTTGAGATAAATGCCTGCAAAGCCCCAAAAGCACTGTTACTATTACGCCTTTTGTGTTTCCGTAAGCTTTTGTAATGAATCACTCGTAGCTCGGTGGGATTGTGGATACACTGTGGTTACAAAGGGGAATACAAGTGGAAAGGGACTTAAAACAGGCAGATTAGTCAGCAAGAAGTGTTGTGCAAAGCCGAAATGTACTTTGCTTGCAGTAAAAGTGGCAAAATAAAACGTAAAGCGATGTTTCCCGTCTTTAAACGACAATTTGTTTCTAAAGACTTCACTGAGTTCCTGTTTTAACTGCATTGGATGTATGGCTCTGCTTAAACCTGCACTGTCTAACTTTTATGGTTTCTCTCTGTGGAGGTAATGTCTGGAATGTTCCACAGTATGGCATTACATTTATTTTATTATATGGAGAAAGCAGGTGATGTAAAAGGGCCAAGTGAGATGTCAAATCTGTGGAGAGGCGAGATCCCTCACACGCATATGTTTAATGCCATACTGGGACATTCAAGAGCAAGTAACAACATCTCCATGGAGACAAGCAGATGGCAGAAACAACTAACAACTAAACAAGGACTAATCCCAGGACTGAACAAGGACTAAAACAGGACTAAAACAGGACTAAACCAGAACTGAATCAGGAATGAGGGTTGGGATGGGCCTGAAGGTGTGCCCGTGTAGACCGTCAGGTGACTACAGGTGAAAGGACCGCAGAGGTGCAGTCGTCGCCCGATCACGCTTTGCGGACACCCTGCTCCACAGGTTCTCCCCCTCTTGCTCAAGTCCAAGATTAGTCCTGGTTTAGTCCTAGTTTAGTCCTGGTGTCCTACTGATGTTCTGTGATGTTAAAAGTTGCCTCAATTAGTCCTGCAGGAAATTATTTCATGTTGCAAAAATCATTTGCACTTAAAAAAATAAAATAAAATAAAATACAATGTTAAAAAAAAAAATATTATCAGTTATTTAAATAGAAACGCAAAAGATGTATTTACTTCAAAGGCTTGTGTGTGTGTGGGAGGGCAGGCGGATGAGAGTATGGGCGGGGGGGGGGGGGGGGACTTACTTACTCTAAGGAGAGGCTCACATTTACCTCATTTGAAATCCCCTGCTCTACCAGAAAAGTTACACAGTGCACCTTTCAACTGAATCCATTATTATTATTACAAATAACAGCATAGACTGAATGTAAATGTATTTAATTTATGAATCCCCATTGTTATTGGGTTGTTTGGCAAATACCAATGTACCAATTTATAATGTGTGAACTTTACAATTCTTGAAATATTGTTTGTTGCATTGTTGTTGTTAATAGGTTTTATTTAAAAGTACATATTTTAACATAAGGTACTCCTCCTGACAAAATGTAAGCCTTTTGGGACTGACAAACTGTCTTGTGTTCCCTTATTCTTATTGTGCCATTGTCTTTTAGGTCATAATCTTCATTCATTCTTCGAGTTATGTATTTTTCAAAACATTCAAAATGTATTTGTCCAAAATCAGGACCAGTATAAAACAGATAGCAGTATAATCTTATGACCCTCATAAATAGCTGACTGATGTATTTGTAATTAAATCCATAATTTGATATAACAGTAGTTGTAACAGTTTGTTGCTATATATATATTTTTAATAAATATTACGTATGTATCAAGTGAATCTTTTGTGAGTGGGTGCGTTCTTACTGGGGCAGGCCATCATGCGGCAGGTGCGTATGAGCGGCGGGGAGGACAGACCGGAGCACCTGTCCCAGGGCAGGGTGAGGAGCTGGGCAGAGGCGGTGAGCTGCTGACACTGAGGCTCTCTGCGCTGGACCCCCAAACCACACGACACCGAGCACTGAACATAAACAACAAAATAAACAAATAGGGTTTTAATCTCAAAGGGCTTTTTTCCTGATTAAATAATAAAAGCACAACAGCAATACTCATTTATTCATGATGCTTCCTGTTATATGCAACATTTTGAGGACTTTTCCCCCTTTAAAACTGTATAATATTATTATTTAAACTACTCATATGGTGATCAAATTTGTGATCATTATGAAAACCATGGAATAAAGATTGATAAATGGGATAAATCAACATTACAGTCAAATACTTTTTAACCATCCATCCATTTTCTTCCGCTTATCTGGGGATGGGTTGCGGGGGCAGCAGTCTAAGCGGGGACTCCCAGACTTCCTTCACCCCGGACACTTCCTCCAGGGCCACAAGGCGGACCCCGAGGCATTCCCAGGCCAGCCGAGAGACATAGTCCCTCCGGTGTGTCCTGGTTCTACTCCGGGGCCTCCTCCCAGTGGGACAGGCCCAGAACACCTCTCCAGGGAGGCGTCCACGAGGGATCTGAAACAGATGCCTGAGCCACCTCAGCTGGCTCCTCTCGACATGGAGGAGCAACGGCTCTACTCTGAGCTCCTCTCGTGTGACTGAGCTCCTCACCCTTACTCTAAGGGAGCGCCCAGCCACCCTGCGGAGGAAACTCATTTCGACCGCTTGTATCTTGTCCTTTCAGTCATTATCCAGAACTCATGACCGTAGGTGAGGGTAGGAACGTAGATTGATCAGTAAATCAAGATCCCTCTTCACCACAACGGTTCAATACAGCGAGTACATCACTGCAGACGCTGCACCGATCCGCCTGTCAATCTCACGTTCCATCCTCCCCTCACTCGTGAACAAGACCCCTGAGATACTTGAACTCCTCCACTTGAGGCAGCAACTCTCCACCCACCCGGAGAGAGCAAGCCTTCTTTTTCTGGTTGAGAACCATGACCTCGGATTTAGAGGAGCTGATCCTCATTCCAGCTGCTTCACACTCGGCTACAAACCGCCCCAGTGCACATTGCAGGTCCTGGTTTGATGAAGCCAACAGGACCACATCATCTGCAAACAGCAGAGATGAAATCCTGTGGTCCCCAAACTGAACCCCTCCTGCCCTTGAGGTGCACTGAAGTGGATGGCAAATACTTTTTACTTTTTTATTATTTACATAATTGTACTTATTTTGCTGTGACTCATATTGACCAAGTTTCACAATTTTAAACTTTTATTTCATTTTTTCATATTCTACCACTATCCAAATACAAAAATGTCAAAACTCCATTTTGACACTAAAGAAAAAGCTTTATAGACTACGGAATATGGATAGAAGATACGCACACGTACTAGTCTTAACCACTTATCCAAAGGGATTTATTCTGGACTCAGTCAATTATATAATGATTATGCATGTTTTTTGTTTGTTTAAATTATTTTCTGTACAAATTGTGCTCTACAGTTAATCTTGGCTTGCATTTTTGACAATATATTTTCATAATCAAGTTTTATTATCTGCGTATCAACCTTAGTTCAACCTTTCTTTGCCAATATTTTGAACAAGATGACCAAATAGAAAAAGAAAAATATAATCCCCCTGTGCCTCACCTTGCTCCAGTCCCCTCCGCTGATGTGGGGTGCACAGTCTGTGTCGGCGCAGGAGCGGGTGCTGGTGGGTGCCTCTGCTCCACACTCCCTCACCGTCCTGTAGGCCCCAGTGGACAGCAGCTGTTTACAGAAGACCTTTCGAAACTGCACTCCTCCTCCACACGACTGGGAGCACTGGGAAAAAGACAACGAAAACAAACCACAGCATGCGCTTTAAAGATTTATTAGTCTACGCGATTAGATATGCATGATTGTTTTGTGTCAGAAAGCACTGAATAATTATAGACCAAATTAGCTAAATAGTGATAGTGAAGTAAATCTGATTTGGCTCGGCAGAAAGCAGTGCCTTCAATAAAAAGCACACATTGTACGAGTTTCAGAATAAAATAAAAAATGTGGACCACTTACCATAGCAATTAACTATTTTCATAACATAATATAATTTAAAATAGTGAAAAGTCCTCAATATGTCGCCTATTAAAGGTCCTTTATTACGCAAAATTGATTCTTGTGAACTATAAGCCATGCCATGTTGTTACCTCCTCAAAAACACACCTGAAGTCGTGTTGTTTCATTCACACATGTTTGAGTAACTCTTATTATGAGTCTGTCTACATCTCCAAAGCTCTAAATGCTCTGTTGCACCTTTGAATGTCATGAAGCAGTAGTTTTCAAGTAAACAGCTTTTACCTTTTACCTTCTGTAGAGATTGACATTTCGAGGGTGGCAATAATCCAAATGATTCTAGTGAAGGTGTATGGAGTTTAAAAACACAGTGGAGCACTTCCTGAATCACCACAAGACATAAAAAAGTTTTCATTTGCATAAATACTCCATCGAGCGCCGTCATAACTACACCAAACCTCTGGGCGGCACCTGGATTAGATTCAAACCTGTAGCATTTATTTCATCATAGTTGCAAGTATTACTCAAAAATACCTTGAAAAATGTGCATTACTGAGTGGGCTCGCCTCTCCACAGATCTGTGAAAGCCTTCATTCGTCTCTGGTCATAGATGTGAAACATGAAAAGCGTTTGCACCAGAAGAAATGCGACTGCTGCTCTGATGCTTCCATGATCATCACCAGAGCAAAAGGGAAACATTGGTCAGCTCCTAAAACTGTTTATCTCACTTTACACGCAAACACCAATCCGTAGTTTTCCAGAATCTCCACTCTAGTTGGAATATTTGGAAAGCTTCGTTTTCAGAGGCGAATTCTCTGTTTGCGTGTAAAAGACGGGTGCAAACGAAGGGAAATGTCTCAGTTTTTAAAAATACCTGTGTACGTGTGAACGGAGTCTAAATAAGCAGGGTTTTTGTGTTAAACGTGTGAGTGAAGAGGAGTGAAATATATGAGCTCTTAAATAGGAAGCTGAAACTTTTGAATCACGGGAAGAAGTTACACATGGTTGGGTTTGTGAACTTTAGTACTGCAAATGTGATCCTCAATTAAACTGTCAAAATCAGGTACATTTTAAACGCCCAGAAGCATTAACATCTGAGAGAAGACCAAAACGTGAACAGCTAAAGGGCCCATGTTACCCTCTTTTCTGATCTATAATAATGTTATAATGTGGAACAAACCCTGCGTATTTAGAATGAGCTCTTCTCTCAGACAGAAAACACTTTGTTCCACAGTGCGATATCATGTGGTAATGCAGAAAGTGTTCCACTGTGTTTGTAAACTCCATTTACCTTCACTAGAATCATTTGGATGATTTCAGCCCTGGAATTACCAACCTCTACTTCAAGGGCGTAGGTTTGGTCTCAGCTTTGGTGGAGACATTGTCAACTATCCCCTCCATATGTTTTATTGATTCTTTCTAAAAACACACAGAGTCTGGGCAGGTCCAAAATAACAGAGAGGTGGTTTCATTTTTCAGTTCGCAAAATGTACAGTTTGTGTCCATTGTCCTTCTAAGATGATTCTTTAGCGGATAACAGCGATGTAGAAGTTTGTAGCAGATTTCCCTTTGCTTGTTGGAGAAACTTGTGAGGTAATGTCCAAACATTTTTCCATGGAATATTGTCAGTAGAGTCGGGCTGCTAACGGCGCTTGAGTAGGGCTCCGTTTGGGAGGTGCACTTGTGGTGACAGTCGCTCTTTTTCCGCGGCGACTCATTATAAGGCAAGTTTAACTGAAGATGAAGCCAAGTAAGTTCCTTTTGAAAAGTTTTTCAAAGTTTGGTGCGCAGCGTCTTCACTCACGCCTGCTCAAGCCGACATCTTCAGGTGCGGCCCTGTCCTGCCGCTTCCCCAGTTTAGGCTTCTGGCTCCACTAATGACATCACTCTGTTGCAGCCAATGAAATAGCGGCAGGAGTACCGTATTTTCCGAGCTCTCTAGCCTCCAACCCCATCAAAAAACGATCACGCGCTCCACAATCCAGAGCGCCCTATACACGAATCCACTCGGGTCCCAGCACGACTTCAGTAAACTACACAGTTGCACCACCCACAGGGCACGCAAACACACACGGAGCAGACAGCGACCACGTGGCGAAAAACACCCACGGACGAGGAACAGAACGGAGGAACGAACCGAAAAAGCGAGCGCAATGTGCCACTTCTAGACACAACTGAACAACTGAGTCACTGCGAACACGCCGACAATCCAGCGGCCCCAGACAGCACCCTCCCTACGCGCCACAACTGAACAAAGCCCAGAGTCACCGTGAACGCGCCAAACAAAGTCCCACTGACCCATCCGACTGTTGTGTTTCGTTTAAAGTCCGGTGCGGTTTATTTATGAAAAAAGTTTGAAAATAGACCATTTAATGACAGTGCGTCTTATAATCCAGAGCGCCTAATCGCCCGGAAAACACGGTAACCCTGTCGTCATATCACTGAGTACATCTAAGAACATCTAATAAACAAAATATGAACTAAAACGTGTTAAATGAATACTGTTGAGTTTGGAAAAATATTGGAATAAACGTATATTTTTGTTTTTATTTTTTCACATAAAATAGCAAATATTGGTCGGGACTATTTTGTCTTTCCCAAATATTGGTTGTGACATGTCCCCACCCTCCCTATGCAAACCTACATCCTTGATCTACTGAAGAAAAGGTAAAATGAGCTGTTAACTTGAAAACTACCCATACATGACACAAGGTGGAAGAGAGCATTTTGAGTTTTGGAGATGTAAACAGACGAATAATTATGCAGGATGACTCAAACATGTGAATGAAACAAAACAAAACACAGCACATTGCTCCAGGTACGGTTTTGATGAGGTAATTATAACTTGGCTTAAAGCTCACAAGAGTCATTTTTGTGTAATATAGAATCAATAAAAGGTCAACACTGACAGCAAAGCCTTATTAAAACACCCGGAGACACAATGTTCTCTACCAGAGGCTAAATATAGTGCAGCTTTCCACTATGTCAACGCTTCAGATTCAGGGGGACTTTATTTACACCCGTAGGAAGATTTGTTTTACAGCAATTTGTGTAAACTGTGGTCACATAGCAGTTTCCTTTAGACTGTGATTAATCTTCCCTTAATAGTACAAGACAAACATGTTTAAAAAGACTTTTATTTGGTAGCAAACTCAAAGCTAAAGGTGCATTATGTAACTTTTGGATGGTCAACCACAGCCGGTTTCCATGATGTTGAATGTTCCACAGTTTAGTTTAGTTTTTTGTTTTGTTTGTTTTAACAATAAAACACCTGCAATTGAAGAAATAAATTAATACATAAATTCAAAGTCCGTGTATCATTCGTTCATTCGTTTTTCAAAATAAAACCAAAAATAAGAAAATGACAAAACAACTATTTTCATCATTATCTGTCTCCAAAATCAAAATGAAAAAACAAATAACGATTTGTGTTTTCAGTTTTTCGATTTTGTGTTTAAATGAATAATGGAAAAAATGGATAATGGCTGTTTCCCGTTTCTTAAACTGCAATGACGGACTTTTGCGCCAGCACTAAAACTGGACTAAACCAGGACTAAACCATACCTCAAGGGCCCGTCCCGACATTCAGTCCTGGTTCAGTCCTGTTTTAGTCCTGGGTCAGACCTGTTTTAACTTCTTGGGTTCTTTTTAAAGACAATACAGTAAAGTGTGTTTACCTTGTTGACATGTTTCTGTCACTGTCCCTGGTGTCGGTGTTGATGTGTAGCAGCCAAAACATGTCAACAAGGTAAACACACTTTACTGTATTGTCTTTAAAAAGAAGAAGTTAAAGTACATAGAAGACAAAATAAATGCCTTTGGCTTAGTCCTGTTTTAGTCTTGGTTTAGTCCTGGTTTAGTCCTGTTTTAGTCTTGGTTTAGTTCTGGTTCAGTGATGTTTTAGTCCAGGTTTAGTCCTGTTTTGGACCTGTTTTAGTCCTGGTTTAGTCCTGGTTCAGTTCTGTTTTAGTCCGGGTTCAGTCCGTATCTGTCGCAGATGATATGATAAACTACTATTGTAGCCACAGCTGCCCTGGGACAGACTGACAGAAGCGCGGCTGCCATGTCAGTCGGCGCCATCAGTCCCTCTGACCACCACCATCACTCACACACACACACCACTTTCATAGTAGGGATCTGACGGGATCAGGGTTTACAAGCCGGTATGGCCACATAAAAGTCGGCCACGCAAAAGTCCAGCATCTCAGTTTATGTCACAGAAACGGGAAATGCCCATTATCCATTTTTTCCATTATTCATTTAAACACAAAATCGAAAACTGAAAAAAACAAACAAAAAACAAATCCTTACCTGTTTTTCATTTTGATTTTGGAGACAAATAAAGAACAAAATAGTTGTTTTTTTCGTTTTCTTATTTTTGATTTTATTTTGAAAAATCGAATGATACAGGGATTATGCAGTTCAATGTAAACAAGCAGGTAGCAAACCCCTCCACTAAAAAGTTACATGGTGCAGCTTTAAATAATGACATAATACATACAGCTCTATAGCTCCAATCTACTCCTCCTGATTTATTTTATTTTAATTGGTTTCAGGGTTTGATTTATAGGAAACATTTTGCGGACGTTTCACTATTCAAAAGATCTTATCTTATTGTGTTTGAACTGTTAATTGTCATGGCACCAGTACTAAATTTTTGTCAGTCTGAAACTGCTGAATAGCACATTTCATCAGTGGAATTCAAAAATGCTGCACAAAGAATCATTCATCAAAACGTTTGTAGCTCCACCAGTTATTTTTCAAAATAATGAAACAAACAAACAAACAAAAAATTTCAAACAACACAATCAACTTTCAACAATCACGTGTTTAGTGTTGAATAATGGCACAACTTTCTAAAGCTATTATGAAAAAAAAGAGAAAGAAATCAAATAAAATCACTGATGTGTTTTGTATTTTTGGAGTTTTTTCACAACTTTTTTCCATAAACTGCAGTTAAAACCATAATCTGGAACATTCTCAACACAGATAAACTTAATTCTGAAGTAAGTGGGTGGTTTATTCCGATTTTAAAGCCAAATGAATTTATTCCTCGATCATGTAAACGTTTATTCTTCTTAAAAATAATTCAGCGCATACTCGTTGGGTCACCCTCCTAACGTGATTCAGATGATCCGGCTCCACCACTTTCATCCACGTCTCTTTGGATTTGCGAGCGGGATGCGGGAGTGGGCTGAGGTGGAGCAGCTGTTAACTCAGTTTGTCTTCTTCCTCCCTTCTCCGACACTCTTCCCTTCTCCTCCTCAGCTGACAGACGTAAAGCACGATGAGAGATTTCTCCAGCTGCTGCTTTCATTATCATCGAAACGACTACGGAAAAAGTTTGTATCACGTTTGTGTCCGTGGCGTAACGACAAACCGAGATGACAAAAAAAAAAACGGTAGTAGCTGAAGTGTGTGTTTTCTTCCGGTTGAAGTAAATACGTTCGTGTCCTTGTCCAATCAGAACCTTTCGCGACCTCTAGACGTTGAGCGGAATTAAATAAAGACAATGTAACGTGTTTTCCATGTGAAACTAAATTCGCAATTATTATTTCCACGTAAACTCGAAAGACAATATTTTAATTCTGAACTACTGAATTCAGAACAATTCATTTGGAATTAAAAAAACGTAACGTAAATGTGGTCATTGTGTTCAAATAAACCTCAGATTAAACGTTAACTTGAGTAACAGAGCGTCAGTGTCAGTATTATTGTTTATCGCAGTATGTTTCTGTAGAAATGCTTCAAAATGTGTTAACGTGACAGGCCTACTGAGCGTGTATCTTGTCTTTGTACCTCCTGCCAGGGCCCAGTGTCCCAGGAGGGGGGGCAGTCGAGCTGGTTGCAGGGCTGGAGCACGGGGGGCTTCATGTCTCTACACTGGTCCTCAGAGACAGTCAGGACGTCCCGCAGGTCCACAGACATCAGCTTCATACAGAACACACTCCGAGTCTGTATGCCCACCCCGCAGGACGAGGAGCAGGCGGTCCACTCACTCACCTCCCATCTGCAAAAAGGACACAGGAGAGAGCGGGTTACACTGAGAGAGCTTCAAAGGACCCATATTCCACTATTTTCTGATCTATATAATGTTGTTTCATCTTCACAAACATAAGTGGAGTTTTGTTTTGTTTCATTCACACAAGTTTAACACACAAACCCTGCATATTTAGACTGAGATTACGTTTACACTGAAACGAATCACTGTATCACTGTATCAGAAACGATTTGCTTTCAGACACGTCGTTTCTGTGTCCGCAAGCATTCGCTATCCACACAGCTTTGGGCATATTTGTTTACGTTTTACAGAAACTAAACTTAAAACCTCATGGTTAATTTGCATAAACCAAGGGCTCAAAAAACAGCTCGCTTTTGTGCACTGATGAGGTTCAGCTTCTGTCGGACTAAAGGATACGTGTGACAAAGAGGGCCTTTGTCCCCATTTTTCACCTTAGTTCAGTTACATCTATCTATATCAACTAAACAGCTAAATAATAACTATCCCGGGTTTGTTTTATTTAGTCTTTGTTTAATTGATCACATTCACACAGTTACTTTAAATTCATTTTATTTGGTTATATCCCTTCATTTTTGTTTAAACTTACCACCTTTACCTGTGACTCCACATGGTCTGGGAACAAAAAGAGGGGGCGTGTCCTTTGGCAGCCATATTTATAGGCTCAGGGGGAGGTGTTGGCCCAGACCATGTGGAGGGAAGCCTCGGAAATGGTTCTTTGTTTTATCAAATGGGTTATTAGAATTTTGGTTTCAGTGTATCTAGTTAAGTTGGAGCACTGTTCAGTTTAAAAGGGGATTAGGCTTCAGAAAATAATTTAAGGCAGCACACCAGTAAGGAAAGGAAATTGCTACAGTTTTCCCCGTAAGTTGGTGTGAACCCAGGGGGAGGGACTTCCTCTCTGGGGGGTATATAAGTAGAGGCAGTTTAATCAGTAGGAGGTCACCATCAGTGCAGCCAGGTGCCTGTGGGTATTTTCTTTTGTTGCGTTATTTTCTGTTGCTTTTTTGTTTAGTTAAGCACACTTCTTTTTTTGTAAATATGTATATAAATTTTGCCCACGACTTGGAAGGATCCAATAAAGAATTTGGTTTGGTGAAGGACAACTTTGCACTGGACTCTCATTTTGACCACTTGGGCCAGCTTCCCCACAATACGGCTCAGTGGAATTTTTGTGTTCTTTCTGTAACAGAGGGGTGTTCTGCTAATGGTGAGTCTGTTCTGTGTTTCCCGTTTGTCTATGGTTTGTTTAAACTTTTCCGCAATAGCGTCAAGTGGCCGATGTCATGAAACCAGCAAATCCTGAAAGTGCATGTCACAGTGACGTGGTCCAATAAGAACGGCAACTAGAGCTCCTACGTCAGCGTGCCAGCGTTTTCAGGCGTCCACACAGTGTCAGATCAGATCAGTGCTCAGATGAATTCCGTGGGAGCTGACGACACCAGATCCGTCCATCCCTGGAACCGTTTTCCATCGGATAAGTGTGGACGAACACTGCATTCGCAACGAAAACAACTCGAATACATACTAGTGTGGATGGGATCTAAGTTACAGGCCAGATCCATCTCACTCACAGTAAGAACGCATGTACTTCAAGGTATTTTGAGCAATAAAAACAACGTTAATTGAATAAATGCAAGGTAGATAAGTTCAGTGGTGTACTGTGGAATATTCCGGATGAAGCAATAACAATAACAATAACATCATCACAGAGACAAGAAGGTGGAAATTTACTCAATGCAGCTTTAAAAACATCTCTCCCAAATAACATTACAAGGACAAGGTAGTGAGCATTAGCCAGAAGTTATTCCGTTATTCATTCTTGATAACTACTGCAACTCCTGAAAACACTGTTCCACCTTCTCATGTCATGTGGTAATACAGGAAGTGCTCCACTGTGTTTTTAAACTCAACACACCTTCACTAGAATCATTTGGATGATTTCAGGCCTGGAATTTTCAACTTCTACTAAACAAAAGGTAAAAAGTAGCTGTTAACTTAAAAACTACTGCCTCATGACATCAAAAGCATCACAAGACAGAATTTTCAGTCCTGCTCACGCCCGCACCTGCAAAGAATTGTAATTTTCATTCTCACTTCACCCGTTCCCGCCCGCAAATCCTAAAGGATGGGGACGTTCCCTTTCTTAAACTTCATCAAACACGGAGAAGTGGAAAGGAATTGTCTAAAATGTGCGTCAGATTAGACCACATCTGAAAATTTAGGTTGCTTAAAATGTTTTTATTAATGCCAAACAAAATAGGCATACATGAATCATTTGTATATTTTACTTTACCCTCATATTTAGTTTTGCGGGGCTGCAGTTTTCATCCCACCCGCCTCCCAAGCTTTCGAAATATGTCCTACGCCGCACTGTTTTGCGTTGGGTGTACATCACAAGGGGAACAGAGCATTTTGAGCTTTGGAGATGCCGAGAAACTAATACTAAAGGGTTACTCGAACATCTGTGATTCAAACTAAACACAACTCCAGGTATTTGATGAGGTAACAGGATTAAAACATGGCCTCACAAGAGATAATTTTGTGTAATCTGGGACTTTAATTTGCCAAGGGGGACTGCGCAGTATATCACTTTGTTTTTCAACCAGTTTGCCAGTTTGTGCAGGGCCAGGTGTGCGCTGGACAAAATCTGTTTTCAGTTAAGTTAATTCACATGCGCTTTTAATTGAATCGTTTAACACTGCAGAGTGTCCTGACCAACTTCGGAGCCAGATGAGAAAGCAAAACAATCGTTATTGCCAAACACAAACAAGCAGATACAGGGGAACTGACAATACACATTTTTATACAATCTGTTAAGTGTGTAATAAAATAAACTGTTTTGTTTTGGGTTTTTTTTACAGAAAAATAAAAGAAAAACACCCTTGTACCTTGTATCTCTACAAACATGTTCATAAATGTGTGGGATTCTTGTGTTAGTTTATTAGTTCAGATTTTGGTCTTCTGTCAATGTTAACACAATGTTAAAGCTCTGAATACAGTCCTACTTTTAATTTATAATCTAATCACATATCGAAATACAAGTACACAGAAAAAAATGCAATTTAATATATTTTGAAACTGCAGAATACATTAGAGCAGAGCAATTGGCAAAAAACAAAACAAAACAAAAAACACATTTATCCAATGACATTCATTTGGTCTTCTGATATTTTATGTTATTAGTTTCTTTTTACAGACCAAGAGTTTGTTTTCATACCTGACAGTTTCGACTGCTCACTCGTGGTCTTCTTCAGAGTGGTCACGTGATGTTGCTATGAAGTGTCGGTCAGCTGATTTAAACAGGTTTATAAACTGGGACGAGGGGGCTTTTTTTACTCTCACACACCTGGGATACTGTCCTGAGGAAGTGGGACTGCAGATGGCGCTGTCGTCCTGCCTCCACCGGTAGGAAAACAGCACCAAAACCTGTTTAAATCAGCTGACCGACACGTCAGAGCAACATCACGTGACGACTCTGAAGAAGAGCGCTAGTGAGCAGTCCAAACTTTCAGGTATGAAAACAAACTCTTGGTCTGAAAAAATAACCTAATAGCATAAAAAAAAATTGTTTCATTTCATTGATCTATCACACACTTGTCAAACTCAGGCCCAAGGTTCAAATTTAGCCCGAGATATAATTATATTTGGGGCTCGTGAGATCATATCAAATATGTATTCGAGCTGGCCCGCGGGTACAGAGCTATACACAGCTATAGAGACATTATTTATTTAAAATGTTGTTATTATTTTATATTTTGCTTGTTCTGGATTCAATGTTCAAGCAAAACTATTATTAAACATTTATTTCAAAAAGAAACGGTTTAACATTACATATCTCAAAAGAAAAGAAAACATGCAGATGTTGTTGAAATGTTTCAATAAATATTTTGTTTGGCCCACGACTTAGTCCCAGTTTTTAATTTTGGCCTCTGTGAATTTGAGTTTGATTTCATTGTTCTTTTCTAGTAAAGATCACAACTTCAGAACAGTTTAAATTTACTTTCTTATGTATGACGGCATTGGCAACGAATGTGGTAAGTCATAATTGAAGGCAACAAATATTTCTAAAATCAATATTCATGATAAATTACTATTCTGAACGCAATTTACATTAAGCAAATCAATATATACAAATGGCCTTTTTATCAAATCTACTCTATATGAATCCATTTCTTCTCATTGAGGTCATCTTTTCAAAATTCCCATCATGCCTGCAGTTATACCATGACAGAAAGCCGTTATAACTCAACTAGCTAATTACACATTGATCAATTTAAAATCCATTTGCCTTTGGGATCAAGAGGTCAGCAGGAATGGGGATCGTCAATATTTGCTTTGAGCTGTATGAATATGCTATTAGGGGATTAAAGACGTTACGCACTTGCCGATGGACTGCAAGAGGTTGACGTTGAAGCACAGTTTTGTATCATATTTCGAAACTCCAACAAGTTTCTGAATGTCTCTCCCCACTCTTCACCCCCTTCACACTTAAATCTATCGTGTTTAGAAAAGACTAGAAGCAAAATACATGAATAAATAATCATAATAATCTGACCATGCAATGAAATTTGACGATTATGGACAAATTATAATGACTGGATCAGTAGGAGATCCTTTAGGTCAGGGGTGTCAAACTCATTTTGGTCCGGGGGCCGTATCCAACCGACTTTGATCCTAAAGGGGCCGGATCAGAAAACTCATGTCATATAAACCCCAAAAATAACAATAAGTTCAAATATTTGTGCAGAGAAACACAAATCTATTACAAAAATCTTTTTTAATTGATGAACTCTTTCTTTTACAAAATATTATAATATTATGAACAACCTGAAACTTTAAGAAAAATACAATTTCAACACAAAGCTTTAAAATGAACTTGTTTAACATTAACTTGTATAAATAGGAATAAGTAAATTTTTCTTGTAAAATCCTGCACTCGGCTCCACTTTTCTCATTTTGGACATTTTGCTGATGAGGGTGTCACGGTC